TATGCTTGGTAGTAGGTGTGTGTGTGTGTACTTGTTAATGTGTGTGTATGTGTGTGTGTGTATGTGTATGTGTGTGTGTGTGTGTGTGTGTGTGTACATGTGTGGGTGTGTTTGTTAGAGAGTGTGTGTGTGTACTAGTTAGTGTGTGTATATGTTGTATACTTGTTAGATGGGTGTGTGCACATGTGTGTGCTGGTGTATGTGAAGCCCTAAGGTTGTTCTCCAACTTTATTTTTTGAGACAGGGTCTCTCACTGAACCTGAAGTCATCTCTGAGGCAAGGCTGGTGGGCCAATGAGCTTCAGTGATCCACCTGTTTCTGTTCCTGTCAACCCCACCCCATCCTGTGGTGCTTAAGTGATAGAAGCTCTCTCTCTGTCAGACTCCCTTCTCTCAGCTTTTTACGAGTTTGGGGGATTCAACAGGTTTTCATACCGTACTTCTGCCCAGATCTTTGTCAACTAGCCACCTCCCTAGCCTTAGCAGTGTTGTTTTAGAATTTTAGGAACAGAGGTTTTTTGTTTTTGTTTTGTTTTTTAAGATATGGTCTATCTACTTATGTAGCTCTGTATGTCCTGGAACTCACTTTGTAGACCAAGCTGGCCTCGAACTCAGAGATCTGCCTGCCTCTGCCTCCTTAGTGATGGTATTAAAGTTGGCTGGAGCACAGAGCTTTTGTTTTGTTTTACTTTGTTTTAGATGAAGGTAATTTGCCAATTTTCAATATCCAGCATTTAAAAATAATTTCTAAATACATGAACTCAAGTGGCACAGTGTTTTGTTTTGTTTTGTTTTGTTTTTCTGAAAAGTTTTATAGTTCTGCCTCCTATGTTTAAACTAGTCTGTAACCAATTTCACATTAATCTTAGGTGAGTAAGAGTAAAGGACCAAGGTTTTGATTTCTCTTCTTTCTATATTTTTAGATGCTACTAACCACAAATGTTTAGTGTCTTGCTGTGGTAGAATATTGTTTTAAGGTGTGTTACTTTTGTTTATGTTGCATTTGTTTAACTCTGTGAATCTGTGTTTCTTTGCCTGTCTAAAACACCTAATGGTCTAATAAAGAGCTGAACGGCCAATACCAAGGCAGGAGAGAGAGATAGGCAGGGCTGGCAGGCAGAGGTGTAGCGGTAACGCCAGCATTACCGATACCCATTTACCATGTCTGAGCGAAGGGCTGCGGATTAAAAAATAGAGACAAGAGACAGCGGGTCATTCGTACGATTGGATGTCGAATGCCGTTTATTGAAAGAGGGAAGAAACCTTAAATACATACAGGCTTACAGCACAAATGGAGGAACCCCCGGAGGGCAGAAGTTCGCTACCAATGGTCTACATTCCAGACCCAATGTTCTACATTCTTGCATCTAAGTAGTTAACGCCCAAAATGCAAGATACACAAACAAGGAACTTCCCTTAAGCATTCAGAAGGGTGGATACCAGCAGGGAATCTGAATAGGGAGGACATCTGATCGAGGTCAGCAAGCAAGGCCACAGCCACTCCCAGTCGGGGGCCAGGGCCCATGGCGCCCACACAGAGGGAATAAATAGAAAGAGAAATCTGGGAGGAGGGAGGATGAGAAAAGAGATGGAGGAGTGAGGAAAGAAGTAGCTAGAGGAGGAGGAGGACTCCAGGGGCCAGCCACCCATCTACACAGCAAGCCATGGAGTAAGAGTGAGATTTACAGAAGTGAGAGAACAGGAAAAGCCCAGAGGCAAATATAGACAGGATAATTTAAGTTAATTAAAGCTGGCAAGCAACCCACCAAAATAAGACTGGGCATTCATAATTAAGAATAAGCCTCTGTGTGTGATTTGCTTGGGAGCTGCGTGGTGGGCGCCCCCCAAAAGATTAAAGACTAACCAACATCTTACCATTTTTGTTATGTTAGATTTACATTTGCCATTCTCTCATGGACCCTGGGAGCAGAACAATAGCTGGAACAGGCAATTTCTTTTTGGAACACTCAAGAACTTTTGTTCACCTCTTAGACCTAAACTGGACACATTCTACTTACCAACTACCAATCACTGAAATGGGGATGAGACTGCCATACTTGCTTTATTCATCCCATAAGACAGTGGCAAGTTTTTGGATACCTTTTAAGGGCCTTGCCTTACAAAGGACATATACTTTACCTGTCGTGAGGGCCAGTCTTCGTTGTTATCTTCACTGCATCTGGAATCACCTAAAGCATAGTCTGCAGGGCACCCAGTGAGGGATTTTCTGCATCAGACTGCTTGAAGCAGGGAGACTTACCTTATTCGGGACCTTCTGGTAACAGCCCAGCCATGACAGGAAGAGGGCATCTTTGCTTTTGCCTGCTTGCCCTCACTCTCCCTGGCAAGTTCATCTGCCCTGCTGCTGAGGCCTTCTTTCACCAACATCGGCACTAGCTTCTTTGGGATTCCAGTGTAGACTAAAGACCACCAGTTCTCCAAGAATCCTCCAGGCCTCAGCATCAGATTGGGACTGCTGAGACACCTATCAGTAAACTGAGAAACTACTAGATTCTTGGCCTCTCCAGTGTGAGAGAGTCATTGTGGGACTGACCGGATAGCATCCTGTAAGCCTATAATACATCCCCTTTTATATAGATTCACTCCATCGGTTCTGTTCCTTTAGAGACCCTGCTCCCAGGAAGCACTTGATTTACAGAGGAAGTCAGGCGGCTGTCAGTAAACACATGGCACAGTGTGGTGGTGTACACTAGTTGGTACTGGGAAGAAAATGGATAGGAAGCTGTCAAGACTGTGGGTGGCTTGGAAGTTAAGGAAGGTTGGCTGGAAAGGACTGAGATGATGCTGAAATACAGATCCAAGGAACGTGATGGGGTAGATAGTACAGATAACAGATTAAAAAGGGGTTCATTCTGAACGATAAATGCAAAGGTGCTAAGAACCAAGCAGGTCACTGGAGTTGGAAATGAAAAGGAATTGGGAGATGTGAATGCAGATGTGGGCAGGTAGATCATTTTAGCAAAGTTTCTCTCAACCAGGTGCACTTTGGCAAAAATTTGGTAGTCTAGGGAAATTCTGGTTGTCCTAATCTGTGCCCCCAACCCTCTCATAAGTAGTCGGGACCTTCTAGCCTGATCACCAATAGTGCTGAGAAGCATTGTTTTGGTTCAAAGCAAAGACTGGCTTATAAATGGAGGAAACAGACACATCTGTCCAGAGTCCTCTGTCTGTCTGAGTACACCTCCCACCCGTCCACTGTCCCCCCTCCCCCGCCCCCACGGCTCATGCAGCCCATGCTGTACAGGAACTTCCACGACCTTAAACCTCAGGTCTTTTCTTCTTGTTTCCATCTCCCAAGTGGTGGGATCACAGGCCTGAGCTATTAAGCCATTTAATGTGCTGGGAATTCTGTTGAGGGCTCCCTATAGGCCAGACAAACACCAAGGAAGCTACATCCGTTTCCAAAATCCTTTTGAAAAACAATTTTATATCCACACCATCCATCCAATGCGTTTAAAAACTAGTCTCTTATATTTTTGGTTGTGAGCCTAGCCTTTAACAGCTGAGCTATCCCTCCAGCCCAAAAACTAGTCTAGCCGGGCGGTGGTGGTGCACGCCTTTAATCCCAGTGTTTGGAAGGCAGAGCCAGGCGGATCTCTGTGAGTTCGAGGCCAGCCTGGGCTACCAAGTG